TGGATATGAACCACCAGTGCAAGAGTCCGTTTAAGATCCAGATTTTTAATAGTGATAAATAAAGTCCTATTTGTGATGGCTTGCTTCTGAACATTAAAAATAAATAAATAAATAAATAAATAGAAGAAATAAAAATAAAAAGGCTGGAGATGAGTGTCCTTAACCATGACCAACATGATTAACAGACTGTACACGAATTGCACAGAGATTATGATACAAATTGGTCATTAGTTTTAAATCTAGACCTCTAAATTTTATAGTAATCACTATTCTGTGTTTGAGGTCAGAAAAATCAGGAACTTAAATAAATAGAATATAGGTAGATAGATGAGATATAGGTTTTGGAACCAGGCAGAGCCACTTTAAAAATCTACATTTGCCATTTACTATTATGTGAGCATGTTACTGACAACCATAAAAAATAGATAATGATTTAGGGCATATAAAACCCTAAATTATAGTTCTCTTTCTTCTAAATATGCTAGCTTTTCAATGGTAGTTTCACTAGTTTTTTCGAACCACCAAAGCAGCAACTTTCCTATCAAGAGAAAGCTGATATTTCTTATTTCTTTTTTTAAAAAGTGTTTTTATTTTATTTTATTATTATGTTTTTTTGTGTGTGTGTGTGTGTGTGTGTGTGTGTGGCCAGCTCAGCCCACCAGGGGGCGGGGCTGGCTGGCATGTGGTGCTGGGGGATTGAACCGCGGTCCCTGTGCTTTGCTAAGCTTGTTCTAAGTAGGTGCTTTAGACCACTGAGCCATCTCACCAGCCCCAATATTTCTTATTTCTATATATATTTGGTCATTTCTTTATTCATTTGCTCAGCAAACATTTATTGACCAGTTGTTATGTATCAAAGCATTGTGCTGGGTACAGGCTACACAAAGATGGGAAACACCATGAGTCTTGCTCTTCAAGGGCTGACCTGGAATTTGTCCTCTTTTATGTCTTTGTTTTCATTTAAGGAGCCTTAAAGTCCATAGTTTGTTCTGTGTTAAAGACTATGCGCCTCTGGACAGGGTGGCAGACTCCTGTAATCCAGATATTCAGGAGACTGAGGCAAAAGGATTACAAGTTCAAGGCTAGCCTCGGCAACTTAATGAGACTTTGTCTCAAAATAATTTGTTTTCTCTATATTTTTAGGGAAGGGTCTACAGGCTATTCAGGGTCTCACTACTAGATCAGGCTCATAGTGATTCTCCTGTGTACAGCCTCCCAAGAGCTGGGATTACAGGTGCGTGCTACCACGCCCAGTCTCAATTACCGTCTCAGCACGCCCCATGGGCGGGGCCAGCACAGCAGGTCCAGGGATCTAAACCCCAGCCCCTGCACCTGCTTACAGGTGCTTTAATCCACTGAGCTATTTGGCTAGCCCTCAAAATAATTTTTTTGTTTTAAACTATGTCTGTAGCTCAGTGATGAGGCCTGGGTTCAAACCCCAGCAGAGGAGGAGAAACAGAGGGGGATAAGATGAGAAAAGGGGTGAAGACAGAGGAGGAGGGAGAGGAAAAAGAAGAAATTAGGAGTTCACATATGGAGGGTCCAAATGAGATGAGCTCCCAGGAGTCATGGGAATGCTCCTTAGGGTACGGAAGGCTTCATACACTGGGATACAACTTCTGTAGTCCACGTCACTATAAAGGGTACAATTTTCTAAGTCACGCTTCTGAAAGTAGAAAAAGGTTGCCTGTGGTAGAGAACACTATCATTGCAAGGAGGCATTCTGGCAGAGGTGGAATGCTGAGCTCTTTGGATTCGCACCTTGGGAGGGAGGTGGACCACTAAGATCCCTTCTATTCTACCTTGGAAGGCCTGAGGTGCTTTGCCTGGCTCCTATGTGTGCATAGTTAAAACCAGGACTCTCTCCTGGGCTTCACTCCCAAGATGGTTCCCAAGCAGGGCTACTGGCACCATAAGTGTGTGAAGATGGGATGCAGAAATAGCACTGTCCGAAGTGACCTTCTCAATCCTCTGCCCCAGTGCCAGAATTTCTTTGGCTTTAAGACAACAGCTCAAGCAAATGCTTTATTTATTTAAAAAAGGACATTTGGGAGGCCAGCGAGATAGCTCAGCAGACTAAAGTGCCTACTTAGGCAAGCTTAGGCAAGCACAGGGACCACAGTTTGATCCCCAGCACCACATGCCATGCCAACTCTGACTTCAGGGGGGTTGAGCCGACCGGAGTCCAGGAGTAGTGGTGCACGCCTATAATCCCAGCGCTGGGGAGGCTGAAAGCAGGAGGATCACTATGAGTCTGAGCTGTGTAGTGAGGCCCTGCAACAACCAAATACATTAAATAAATAGATAATAAATAAATAAATGCTATTTCAAAGAACACATAAATGTACTGAAGAGGCTCCAACTGATCAAATATAGAATAACCCAGAAAAAAAAAAAAACCACAACAACAGAAAGTGACATCGTAAGAAAAAAATTCATGAGCTTTAGAGATACTAAGGAAAAAAAGGGACAGCTATCTGGAGAAATATCTGTTCTTTACAGAAAGCTAGCCAATAAATTTTGAGGAACAGATTTGAAAAATGATCATTTATAGCCATCTGTGAAATAATTAACATAAGTAAGGCTCAGCAGCAGATATTATCATCTATGTGCCCACTGCTGCTGACTGGGTACATGAACTTTAAACATTACCTCCCAGGTGACTTGGCAACAAAAGGAAGAAGAAAAGACGCGTCAGGCCTCACCAGGTGACCCAGCAGCTTCCCCGTCCTGCAGACGCCCAGCATTTGTCTCCTGAAGTGCTCAGTCAAGGAAACACCACAAGTTTGCAGTACTTTTGCCTTTATTCTAAACAAATCCAGAATAGGCATCTTTAAAATACTGTCATGAAAGTTGACAATCCCACAAAGGTAGAAAAGTTTTGCTAAAGGAAAACTATAAGACACGACATCCAAATGCCATTGGCAGTGTGTGTGTAAGCATCTGCACTAATACAGAAAAGGTCATTTTAAAGATGGTTAGAGAAATCGGAGCATGGGGCCGGGGAGATAGCTCAGTAGAACAAGTGCTTCCCTGGCAAGCACAAGGGCCTGAGTTCAATCCCCAGTTCCAGGAGAAATCTGAGGATATACTTACTACATGTTAGAAAATAATATGCCTAGGTTAAATTTCAGGATAGGTAACGTTCTTAGAAGTGTCAGGGTATCTACGTCACTCATCTCCACCACTGCCGTCCATTCCTGATCTCCTTTAGCACCACCTGACTGCTCCACTCTTGGCCCCCACCCAATGTGTTCTCCATGGCAGACTTTTCCAGTTTAATAAGGAACAGCACGCTGCTGCCTAAGCCGTCCTGTAGCTTTCCACTGCCCTAATATGGTGCATCTGCTCCTGTCCAGCTCCCTAAGCTCAGGTCCTAAACCTCTCCTGGCATTCCAGCACTCTGACTGCCGTCCTGACCTTCTGCACAGCCATGCTGTTTTCCCCACTTGAATTGCTATATTCTCTCTCTCTCTCTCTCTCTCTCTCTCTCTCTCTCTCTCTCTCTCTCTCTCTCTCTCTCTCTCTCTCTCTCTCTCTGTCTCTCTTATTTGGTACAGGGTCGCACTATGCAGCTCAGACTCCTGGTGATCATCCTGTCTCAGCCTCCCCAGTGTGGGGATTACAGACATGTGTCACCACGGCCGTTCTTGGTGTCTGACTCAGCATGCCCAGGGGCGAGCACAGCATGGCTGTGGTGCCCTGTCTCAAGGCTGCCTCTTCTCTTCCTTGGCCTTTAGGTCTTTGTTCAAATGTCTTTTCCTTGGTAAGGTCTTCTCTGACCATCTGACATTAGCTTTCCCCTTCATTGGTCACTATTACCATTATTCCTCACCTTCAAAGTTTTTTTTTTTTTTTCTCAAAATTCTGATTTAATATGCAAACCTCATTTCCTGTTTGCTACTCAGACTTTTTGGTGCTCTTAATCCAGAGGTGAGTCTCTTTGAAGTGTACTTGTCTTGACCTGTAATAACCACAGTAAACAAGCACACTCTTTTTTTGCAGAACCAGGGATTGAACTCAGGCCCTTGCGCTTGCCAAGCAAGTGCTTATTCTACTGAGCTGTCTCCCTGGCCCCTGTTCTTCACCCTCAAAGCACTCTTACTGTCTAACAGAATCTCATGTCCTTATTGAGCCCAGGAATGTCTCCCCTAAATGCAAGCTCCACACAGGGAAACTTGAGTCTTGTCCACCATTATAGTCAGGATCATCCTCAGAATCTCAAGGCACTGCTGGCATAAATAGGTACTCAAAAATTGCTCATGAGGGGCCAGCCAGATAGCTCAAAGCACCTGCTTAGGCAGGCTCAGGGACCATGGTTCAATCCCCTGCGTGCCATGCCAGCCCCTCCCCCAGGGTGCACTGAGATGGTGACTGAGTCTGGGTGTGGTGGTGTGTGCCTGTAATCCCAGTGCTTGGGAAGCTGAGAACAGGAGGATTACTACGAGTCTGATTTGTGTAGTAAGACCCTGTAGACCCTATACCAGACACATTAAAAAAAAATGCTCGTGAAATAAGATAATGAATTAAATGACTTGATTTAAGTTCATATCAGTGTGCCCTACATTTCCCACCCCATCTTGCAGGTCAAGGTGTGTCACTGTACATTCCTCAGTCCACCATCAATGCCACTGTACAAGAAAACATCCTGCTCTCTGTTGACTACTCCTGCCATGGGGTACCCACCATTGAATGGACGCACACATCCAACTGGGCCATGCAGAAGATCGTGGAATGGAAACCAGGGACTCAGGCCAACATCTCTGAGAGCCACAAGGACAGAGTGTCTACCTTTGACAATGGTTCCATCCAGCTCTCCAGCGTGGGTGTCAGGGACTCCGGTTACTATGTCATCACTGTAACCGAGCACCCGGGGAGTAGCCAGTTTGGCACCATTGTGCTGCATGTGTCTGGTAAGACAGCCCCAAGCCCCCAGTGCCCTCTGAACTGGGAGTGTGAGAGGCCTATGCCATGGGATGAAGAGGCCTTACCTTCCTCTACCCTCCCCCACCCCTAGAGATCCGCTATGAAGACCTCCACTTCGTTGCAGTCCTTCTTGCTTTACTTGCTGCCGTGGCTGCAGTGTTAATCAGCCTCATGTGGGTGTGTAATAGGTGTGCGTATAAATTCCAGAGGAAGAGGAGACACAAGCTTAAAGGTAATGCTGTAGGCCTGATGATCATCCATTTCTGTTTGTTTTTT